CTCCCCCAACATGCAATTTTCCTTTTCCCTTTTTTGGTCCACAAGCTCTACCTTTGAACTACACTCCTAATGCTATGATTTCCTTTCTTTTTCTCTCCTCCTCCATCTCTCTCTTTTTTACCAGTGTTGAGGATGGAATCTAGGGCCTTACATTATACTAAGCAAGTCCTCTACCACTGGGTACCCTGTTTTCTTTTAAAAGTCCTGCATATTTCTTTAAATTTCTTTATTTTCTATTTTCTATTGAATTTTTGTTATTTTTCAAACAATATAATTTGATGGAATTTAGATCCCCTCCCCTTTTTGCCCCCCACCCAATTTAATGTATTCTATTATGTGTAATAAGGCCTATAGAGTCTAATTTGTGTCTTCAAATGTCCTTCAGTGTGAGTCCATCCACTAGAGCCTGGTAAACCTACTGAGAGTCCCATGCTTGAAAGAGACTGTCTTTGCCCCTCCCAGCAGCCATCTGTTGCCACAATTTCCTTAGGAATGGAGCTTCTTATCAAACTCCTCATGTCTACGCTGGGACATTTTTCTGGTTTGAGCTTGCATAGGACTTGGACGTGCTGTCACCATTGTTATGCGTTCATATGAGTAACTGACCAGCTGTCTGTAAAACTCTGTTTTCTTGTGGTCATCGGCTCTTACAATTTATTTCTAAGAATTTTCTTTTGTTGAGGCAGGAGCGATGGTTTGCTGGTTAAGAACAGTTGCTGCTTTTGCAGAGGACCTGGGTTCATTTCATGGCAGCCATATGGCAGCTAACAACCATCTGTAACTCCAGTTCAAGGAAATATGACACCCTCTTCTGGCCTCTGTGGGTACTACAAGCACATGGTGCATTTACATGCTGGCAAAACACTGATACTCATAAGAATAAAAATATAAAATAAAGAATTTTTCTTTGTTGCTCCCAATGCAAACAAATGTATTTTATTATGTTTTTTCAAGATTACAACAATTATTATGAAAAATGAAACAATTCAGGGCAATATAAGCAAACAATATAAAGACTAAAAAATTTTTTTAAATTCCATAGCTTCCCGGCCCCAGGCCAGTCCTGTCTCCAGAGCTCCAGCAGCATCCTCTATGACTCACTTGGCCTTGCCCACTCACTTTCACAACTCACTGCATCCCATTAGACATGCTGCCGTGCAGCTTGCTTTTGTCACTTAATTACTGGTACTTCTCCATGTCCATGTTCATTCTTTTTGTAAATTGCACAGAATCACATTAAATTAAAATCTTTTAAATTAATTATCCTCTTGAATTTTCACAGTACATGATCATAGCATCTGCCATTGTATAAAAAAAAAGAAGAAAAACTTAATTTTCTTGCCTTTTTTGCACTATCTAGAGCATCCAAAACAATGTTAAGCAATTGTAGTGACAGCAGAAAACTTACTGCATCTCTAAGTTTAGCAAAAATATCTTTGACATAAATGTCATCTGTCAGGTTCAGTTTTTAAGAGTATTTTATTCATTATTTCTAAGTTTTGTGTGTGAATGTATTGCCTGAATGTATGTAAGTGAACCCTGTCATGCAATGCCTGAGGAGGTCCAAAGAGGACGTCAGATTCCCCTGGAACTGGAATTATGGACAGATATTATCTGCCATGTGGGTGCTGGGAATCGAATCCAGGTTCTCTGCAAAAGCAGCCAGTGCTCTTAACCAATGAACCATCTCTCCAGCCCCAGGTTCAGTTTGTTTTTGTTTTTGTTTTTTTTCATCATGTTAATAAAGTGCTTTTGTATACTAATATTTTTATTACTTTATTATTTTTATTTTATGTGTATGTGTGTATTGCCGGCATGTAGGTAAGTGTCATGAAATGCCCGAAGAGATCAGAAGAGGCTGTCAGATCCCCTGGGACTGGAGTTATGGACAGTTGTTAGCTGCCATGTGGGTGCTGGGAATTGAACCCAGGTCTTCTGCAAGAACAACCAGTGTTCTTAACCGCTGAGCCATCTCTCCAGCCCCTGTATACTAATATTTTTAAAGGATGGATGTTGAGTTTTTCAATGCCATATTGACAGCTATTATGATTACAAATTTTGAGAATTACTGATAGAATTAATTTTATTAATAGGCTTCCTAATATTAAAGGATTTTGTATTCATGGTCCTGGTTATTCTTTTTAAATTACTCTTTTAACTTGGAGTTCCCAGCAAATGATTGGGAGCTGTGAGTTGTAAGTGGGTCACAAATCTGACCACTTTGTACAAGACACTCTCCCAGGACAGCCAGGAGACAGTGTGAACTAAATTAAATTTGATAATGTTTCCATTAAGATTTTCATATATGAGATTCTGGTCAGCCTATTTTCTATCTTAGCCTACTGCTGGGTTCTTTAGTAAGCTCTGCTTCCAGCTTACTTCCAAACACATCTTCAGTTCTCAAAAAGAGGACAGTATAAACTGGTTGGATGCTTGTCAAAATAATTTCTTTTTCTTAGAGATAGTAAAACAGTGCCTAGCGACTCACAACGTAGCTACCCATCAGAAGTGGAGTGACACAGTGATGTGCTTAAGAGCAGAAGGGCCTTCTCTGGATTTTCTCTTTTCCCTCTGACAGTGACCTGAACAGTCTGGGTGAATGCAGTAGTGATACAAGGTGGAAGGGGCTTGGACTCCTGCTCACTCCCTGGAAGAGAGTCCTCCAGGACAGCCAACACTATGCCAGCATCCTACCATCAAGTTGTTAACCTAGGGGCTGGAGAGATGGCTCAGTGATTGAGAGCATTGACTGCTCTTGCAGAGGACCCAGGTTCGACTCCCAACACCCACATGGCGGCTATGAGCCGTCCTTAACTCCAGTTCCAGGGAAATCTAAGCCCTCTTCTGACCTCCACGGCATTGCACGACATGGGTGCACTCACATACATGCAGGCAATACACTCATGCACATATAATAAAAATAAATAAAATATTTTTTTAAAAAGATGTTAACCTAGATCTTTTATTCTCTCTCTTTTTTTCCTTTCAATGCTGGGGATCAAACCCAGTTCCTGTTGTATGTTAGGTAAACCCTGAACTAACACCCCAGGCCCCCTTCTTCCTTTTAAGCAAATAACTATCTCAGAGGGGTAATGGACAGGACAGAAAGCAAAATATACTTTTTGGTTTCCAGCAACCCAAATCAATTAGATGATTAACTTTAAACAAACCCAATAGGAGATTTTACCCCCGAGGCAAGTATCAAGATAGGAAAGGGCTGTGGGCAGTGGTCTGGCAGTAGGGGGAAGACCCAAAATAAGGGTGGGGATGAAGAGAGATTTTAAAACGAAGTGGAGCTCATCCAGGAAGACAGAGCAGAATAAGGTGTGAATGTTACCACCTCAGGTCTTGTGCTGCAGCCCAGGGAAAACAGTGGGCACCCCCCCACACACACACATACTGTTGTCCCTACTCCTCCCACCCAGGGGATGATGTTAGGTGGTAGGGAGCAAGATTCTCATGACTCATGCAAGGCACCAAATGAAGCAACAGAAAGAGCTCCACAGACAAGCCAGGGGAAGAGAGAATGCCTCAGCAGCTCCAGTGTGGACCAGCCTAGCCCTGTTCCACCTGATTTGACAGGCGAGAAAGGATGTGTCTTTATGTACCAGAGTAGTACGTGATTCCAGAGCAAGTTCTTCTTCAAGGGCTGGCATCCTGCTCACACAGTCTCTCCAAACCCAGCTACCACCTGGGAGGTGGGGGTGGATTCCTAATAAACTGTGTCAGTCTGTCTGGTTAAACAAAGACACACACATGCCCATTTGCGGAGCTCAGAACCTTTAACTTTTTACCGCAATCCCGCTAGATCTGTCTCTCCAGGACACAAGGGTAAGGCAGCATTTCAGGGTTAGGGTCTTGGGGTGAGCTGGGGGTGAGGAGTGGATGAGTGGGTGAGTTCTGAGTGCAGTGGGGTTTGTCCTGCTGCCCCTGCTGAGAGAAAGGGAAGGGAAATTGCACAGAGGGTGGAATGGGGCAGGGCAGGACTGGGTAGCACACCAATCAGGTCTCCTCCCAGCAGGGATTTAGAGCTCTGGTGCCAGCAGGGTGAACCAGATGACCCCACAATGTGGAGGGTATGGGCTTGCAAGTTCTAGAGGGTGACCCCAGTGGTGCTGCCCCACCCGATCCCATCCCAGCAGGTCCCAGCTCCCTCCCACTGCCAGACCCAGAGAGGAGCAAGGGGCACAGGCCTTGCATAGGAAGCCACCTGAGAGGTCATGCCAGCGCCTAGCACTCAGCAGGAGTCCCAGTGCACCAAGTCACACAGGGCCCCAGACTTACACAGCTTAAACCCAAGTCAAATGAGTATATTATGCATGTGTCCTATGGAATCCTGGAAGGCAGCCATCAAGAAATCAACTAACAAGGGATCTCTCTCTCTCTCTCTCTCTCTCTCTCTCTCTCTCTCTCTCTCAGAGGGCCTCTCTCTCTCTCTCTCTCTCTCTCTCTCTCTCTCTCTCTCCCTCTCTCCCTCTCTCCCTCTCTCCCTCTCTCCCTCTCTCCCTCCCTCCCTTCCTCCCCTGCCCCTTGAAGGGGACTTGCCTGGGCCCTTCTCCACATTCCCAGTGGTCACTCCCTGTACCCCTTGTTTATAACTTAGCTTCCAATTCTCCACACTTCTCTGCCCACCTCACCACCATCCTAGCCTTAGCTAAGCACCTCCATTTCTCCTTCATATAACCCTAAACCTGGGCGGGAGACCCCAGGAGTGGGCTTCACGCACCGGACTCCCCTACCAGAAATCCCCCTTTTCAGTGACGGATGCCTGGCACCGAGGCAGCCAGCAACATAATCGTGCCTAAGTTCTTCCCAGAGTTCCTGAAGGGTAGGAGCGGGAACAGAGAAACCTCAATAAGCGAGGGGTTAGTGGGGACAGAGGTCAGAGGGCAAAGTGTGGGTTCCAGGTATGGTCCTTGGAACTAGCTTGTTGCTAGGTAACTAGGTCTCCGATCACCCGATCACTGTGGGAGCACTTCATCCTAAACAGCCCGCCTCCACCTCTGACTGGCTTCTGCTGAGTCTCTCAGATACCCACCCTTTGTGGGGCTTTGAAAGCCAGAAGAGAGGAGAGCAAGAACCCAGCCACCGCCCCTGAGTGCCCTGTGGCACTACCACTCACTGTTTTACTGTGAAAAAGCAGGCCACCCGGGCTGTTTGGTCACTGCCACCATGAGTCTAGGTATAATGGAAGAGGAAGATCTGGCCGAATACTTCCGGCTGCAGTATGGAGAGCGGTTGCTGCAACTTCTGCAGTAAGTGCCTGGGAGCCTGGTCTGCCTCACCCTCTGAGCCACCCATACCCACACCATGCCCCACCTTCCAGTCTGATATCTCCTCTCCTATAATCCAGAGCTCCCCATTGCCTTGCCCCATGACCTTACACCATCACCCCAAAACCAGGCTCCTATCCCTCTGGCCTCTGAATGCCATCATGGCCTCTCTCCTCAACATACTATTCCTTTCACAGGGTTGGGGCAGCCCAACCTCCTTTCCCTCTCCATGGGTGTCTGTCTTGCTGGTTTACTCCTTACCTCAGCCTGCTCCAGCCTCAGAACCCCCCTGTCTTCTCTTATGCAGGAAGTTCCCAAATGTTGAGGATCACTCAGATTCCCCATCCATGCGACTGCTGGAGAAGAAGAAAGAAGCCAAGATCATGCATCAGGCCATGGAGCAGAAGAAGGAGGTAAGGTGGGGACTTCTGGCAATAAGAGTAGGGGTGCACTGTAAGGAAGGGATTAGCTGGAGCTCATGGGTGGCAGTCCTCCATTTTGGGAGTGTTTTGAGCCAGAGTTCTGACTGGTTGTTCTCTCTTTCCTCTGGAGAGAACAGAAAGGACCTGAGTTTTAGGAGGACCAGTATCCTGGGGTGCTACACTGTGAGCCAGGCACAGTGTGGGAAGATCCTTCTGTAACTATAATTTTTTTTGAGATGCTAGGAACTGAACCCAAGGCTTTCAAAATTCTAGGCAAATGCTGTACCACTGGGCTACATCCCAAGTCCTTAAAGACCCTTCTGGTCTAAAGGATAGACACCCTGGGGCAAGTGATTTTAGACTCTTCCTGAGTACCTGTGTCAGAAGTCTTCCTGACTTCTATGCTTTCACATCCTCAAAGACATTCCAGCAAAGGATGGAGACCCTGAACCTGCGCTGGGAGGAACTAGGTGTCAAAGAAGAGCAGCTGAAGGCCCACATCCAGAAGTTTGATCACTTCATCCAGGTGCGAAGAGGTGTGGGCTGCAGCAGGCTGGGGGCCATTCTGTACTGAGGCGAATTGTTCCTCCCCCTCCTTGATTGTGTAGATGCCTCACCCTGGGTTAAAGGTATCGTCAGTGGTCCAACAATGCCCCATGCTTCCCCAGGCATCTTTTACATCCCCACTTATCATGCTATTTGTAATGTCCTACTTAACTGTCAGTCTCTGCTCTCTAGATGGTTTTTTCCTGTTTCCTTGCAAGTATCTGGAACAGTTTATCAAATGGATGAGAATGGACAGATGGCTAGATAGGTGTGATGAAAGATAGACATACCCCATCAGAGATAAGTATCTGGTAAGCAATGAGTAAGACAGGGTTTTAATCCACTCACTCACTGGATCCCTCCATATTTGCCTTGTGCTAAAAGTGAGGGACTGAAGAAGGCAGGAGACCATTGAGAGACTATGGGGTGGGGCAGGGAAGGGAGGGAGACATACTAAGAAATTCCCCTTAAACAGCACTTAGAGGAATGATTTAATCATGTTAAAATCCAGATTTGGGCTGATGAAATGGAATATTAATTGGTAAAAGCTCTCGCCACTGATGATGATGGCCTGAGTTCGATCCCCAGGATCCACATTTTTGGAAGGAGAGAACTCACTCTGACAAGATGCCCTCTGACTTCCACATGTGCACTGTAGCATGTGCATGCACACACATACACTCACAAACAATAAAATAAAATGTGAAAAAAATCATCCATATTTATTGGCCAACCATCCTCTCCATCCAGTGTTAGAAGACCCTGAAGGGCCTGGCCCAACTGCAGGGGAGCTCATTTCTGTCCTCTCCTGGAGGAGTCCTACTCTTAAACCACTTCCTCCAGTTGCATGCCCAGCTGTGCAGAACAGTTCAATGGGCTGGGTACTTTCTCCTGAGGTCTAGTACATCCTGATGAGAGAAAAGCTGATGGAGTGTTTGGGGTGACAGGATTTTTCAGGGTGAGGGGTTCCCCATATGACTTCCAGGGAGTTAGCAGCTGTGGAACCCCCACAGAACTTGTTACAAATACAGACCCTAGGGACTTCTTTCTTCCTCTCTCTGCCTCCAGCAGGCCTCAGATTGAGCCTGGACACCTACAAATTTTAAAAGTGCTCCACATGATTCAGATACCACTGACTGAAGGTCCCTCAGCCTTCTCTGGTGCTATGGGGCAGAGTACAAATCTGGTGTCTTGTTCCATGTCCTCTAAATGTCACCACCACATGGGCTTACCCATATGGACTCACAGGAGCCTCCAGCAGGCAAAAAGAACTGTCTGGTGATGTGCAGGGAGTAGACTTGCCTCTCGTCCCGAGTTAGGGCTCTGAAGAATGAATGGATTGCAGTAACTGAGCCTCAGTCTTGCTTTTTAGACATGGAATTGGCTGTGCCATTTCTTCTAGTCCTAGCAGATGCTGGTCTGGGCCTTCAGGAACATGTGTCCTCTACACATAGATCCATCACTGTTGTCCTGGGCTTTGGAAGGACAAGAGGGGCTATACTTTACAGTCCATTGAAGAAATTGAGACGCTCTGTACTATATCAGGAGAACCCTGACTGAGCCAGCTGCCCCATGAAAAATAGCCACCACTAAATATAGCTCTGTCAAAAGCCTTCTTGCTTCTTGTCCTGGTCTTTTTCAGCCTTTCTCGGCCTTTATCGGCCTTGGCCTTCCTGGGCCTTCTTGGAGTTCAATGGTCTCAACACTGAGCCTGATACAATATGGGTCTTCCTCATCCCTCATTTCTCTTGTGTTCTTGCCCCACTCCCACTTTCTGAAGTCCAAAGACCAAATTCCACAGATTCAGAATATCCTGCCTATCCTTCCCAAGGCCACATCTTACCTTGAGCTTGAAGCTCTGTGCTCCCAGGCTCCTGGGCTCCACCTCAGGCCCCAGAAACCCCTTAGCTTTAATAAGTAGTACCTTCAATTCTGGTCTCTCACTGGCCTCCAACTACGAGAGGGCCTGAGAACACGGGATAGCCTGACAGCCCCGATCCTGCTTCCACATGGTGGTGAGCTTCCCCTAACTGCACCATACCATCCCCCTACCTGGGATTTGGTGAGGCCCCAGGGCAAATCTGCCTTTGGTAGGCTAAGGATGAGATCTCAGCAAACCACAAGAGAGGGTAGGTTCAGACCTCCTCCACTGGGGTAGGTGCTGGGAGCTCAGCAGACCACCAGAGAGTTCTGGCCCCCACTCTGGCCTCCCTCTGGCATAGGGTTGACAATACACAGAACTGCCTGAGAGAGCCTGGATCCTGTCTCCACATGGTGAAGGAAGCCTGAGTGTACCTGACTGGAACCTGAATCGAGCTTCTGTGGGTACTCCTGAATAGCTGATATGAAGCCATCAGTTCCCTCCAAGCTCAGCAGACCACCAGAGAGTTCTGGCCCCCACTCTGGCCTCCCTCTGGCATAGGGTTGACAATACACAGAACTGCCTGAGAGAGCCTGGATCCTGTCTCCACATGGTGAAGGAAGCCTGAGTGTACCTGACTGGAACCTGAATCGAGCTTCTGTGGGTACTCCTGAATAGCTGATATGAAGCCATCAGTTCCCTCCAAAATAAACCTAAGAGAACCTAAACCCTGTACCAACCAGCTTTACATAACCAATAAAGAAAGGATCTAGGCACCTGGATAACACAAACAGAAGCATACTTCAACTTAATTCTCATATCAGAATCATAAACAACAAAAGAAATTCACATGCCAAAATCACAACAAAACTCAATAAGCCAACTTGAAACAACAGGGGAAAGCCTCACCAAGAGAATGAATGAAATGGAAAACAGAATATCAACACTGGAGGGTAAAGTTGAAGAACTGGATTACTCAAGCAGAGTATGGAAAATTAAAAAAACAACAACGCAGGAATACAATATGCAAGAGATGTGGGACACCATGAAAAGACCAAATCTACAGATCATAGGAATAGAGGAAGGAGAAGAATTTCAGGTCAATGGTGTTGACCAGATCTTAAACAGGATTGTAGAAGAGAATTTCCCAAAATTAAGGAAAGACATCCCCATACAAATACAGGAAGCATATAACACCAACTAGACAGGATCAGGAAAAAAATTCTCCATAACATATCATAGTCAAAACACTAAATGTACAGAACAAAGAGAGAATACTGAAAGCAGCAAAAGAAAAACAAGTCACATAGAAAGGAAAGCCCATCCAAATTACAGCTGGCTTATCAATGCAAACCATGAAAGCCAGAAGAGCCTGGACCAAGGTATTTCTAGTTCTACGTGACAATAGATGCCAGCCCAGAATACTACCAAGCAAAAAATGTTTATTATAGTTGAAGGGGAAAGAAAAATTTTCCTTAACACAAGTAGCCTGAAAGAATACATGTCCACAAAACCAGCCCTCCAAAGAATGCTTGAAGCAATACAGAGAGCAAAGAGAGAACCTACTATACCCAAGGAGCAATGAAAGAAAATAAACAAAGATATAATCAAGGAAACACAAAATTACACAGGGAACACAAATAGCAATCAAAATGATGGCAACCAATATACACCTTTCAATAATAACCTTAAATATCAATGGACTGAACTCCCCAGTCAAAAGATACAAGCTAAGCGAATGGATTAAGAAACAAATCCATCTCTTTGCTGTCTGCAAGAAACCCATCTCACCTTCAAAGACAGGCTGTACCTTAAGGTAAAAGGATGGAAAAGAATATTCCAAGCAAATGGCACTAAGAAACAAGCAGGGGTTGCAATTCTAATATCTCACAAAATAGACTTCAAAGTAAAATTAATCAGAAGAGATAAGGAAGGTTGCTTCATTCTGATCAAAGGAACAGTTAACCAAGAAGATATTATAATCCTTAAACCTTCAAAGACAGGCTGTACCTTAAGGTAAAAGGATGGAAAAGAATATTCCAAGCAAATGGCACTAAGAAACAAGCAGGGGTTGCAATTCTAATATCTCACAAAATAGACTTCAAAGTAAAATTAATCAGAAGAGATAAGGAAGGTTGCTTCATTCTGATCAAAGGAACAGTTAACCAAGAAGATATTATAATCCTTAACATATATCATATATGCTATGCTGTACATCAAACGGACCTAACAGACATCTTTCGATTATTCCACCCAAACACCAAAGAATACACTTTCTACTCAGCACCTCATGGAACTTTTTCAAACATTGACCACATACTGGGCCACAAAACAAATCTCAACAAATACAAAAATATTGAAATAATTCCATGCATTCTATCGGACCACAAAGCAATAAAGCTCAAAATCAACACTGGACGAAGCCCTAGTCACTACATGAATTCATGGTGATTGAACAACACACTCCTAAACCATGAGTGGGCCAAAGGAGAAATTAAGAAAGAAATAAAAAAAAATTCCTGGAATTCAACAAAAAGGACAATACAACACAACACAACTTCTGGAACACATTAAAAGCAGTCTTAAGAGGGTAGTTTATAGCTCTAAGTGCCTACATTTAAAAAATTGGAAAGAGCCCAAATAAATGACCTAACACTACAACTCAAGGCACTGGAAAGGCAAGAACAAATGAAACCCAAACCCAGCAGAAGAGAAGAAATAACAAAAATCAGAGCAGAAGCTAATGAAATAGTAACAAAGAAAACAATACAAAGAATCAACAAATCCAAGAACTGGTTCTTTGAGAAGATAAATAAGATTGATAGACCACTAGCCCAGTTAACCAAAAAAAAGAAAGAGCACCTCCAAATCAACAAAATCAGAGATGAAAGGGGAAACATCACAACAGACACCAGAAAGATAGAAAATCCAAACTATTAGAAGGGAATATTTTAAAAACCTATACGCTACTAATCTGAAAGTCTAAAAGAAATGGATGGATATCCGAAATCATGGGACCCTCCAAAGTTAAACCAAGAAGAGATCAACAGTTTAAACAGACCCATAACATATAAGGAAATTCAAACAGTAATACAAAGCCTCCCAATTAAAAAAAGCCCAGGCCCAGATGGATTTACAGCAGAATTCTACCAGACATTTAAAGAAGACCTCCAACCAATACTATTTAGATTATTCAAGAAGATAGAAGCAGAGGGAGAACTCCCAAATTCCTTCTATGAAGTCAGCATCACTCTAATACCCAAACCGGGTAAAGGCACAACCAAAAAAGAAAACTATAGACCCATATCCTTAATGAACATAGATGCAAAAATTCTCAACAAAAACTTGTAAATTACATACAGATACACATCAAAAAGATCGTTCACCATGATCAAGTAGGCTTTATCCCAGAGATGTAGGGATGGTTCAATATATGCAAGTCAATAAATGTCATTAATCCTATAAAGAGACTCAAAGACAAAAACTACATTGTCATCTCAATAGATGCAGAAAAGACTTTTGACAAAATTCAGCATGCATTTATGTTCAAAGTCCTAGAGGGAACTGGATTGGAGGGAACATACCTCAACATAATTAAAGCTATATACAACAAACCCACAGCCAATATCATTCTAAATGGAGAAAAACTGGAAACATTCCCATTAAAATCAGGAACTAGACAATGATGTCCACTATCTCCACTCCTTTTCAACATAATGCTTGAAACTCTTGCTAGAACAACAAGATAGGAGGAGGAAATTAAAGGAGTACTAATTGGAAAATAGAGGTCAAACTATCACTTTTTTTTTGCCTTTTTGAGACAGGGTTTCCCTGTAGCCCCAGCTGGCCTGGAACTCACTGTGTAGACCAGGCTGGCCTTGAACTCAAAGAGATCCACCTGCCTCTGCCTCCCGAGTGCTGGGATTAAAGGCGTGCGCCACCAGGCCAGGCCAAACTATCACTTTTTGCAGATGATATGATACTATATATAAGAGATCACAAAAGTTCCACCAGAAAACTCCTAGAACTGATCAACACTTTCGGTATAGTGGCAGGTTATAAAATCAATCTACAAAAATCAGTAGCCTTTCTATATACCAATAATAAGCAACTGGAGAAAGAATACAGGGAAATGCTTCTATTCACAATTGCTACAAAAGCTTACCCAGCACTCGGGAGGCAGAGGCAGGTGGATCTCTATGAGTTCAAGGCCACCCTGGTCTACAGAGTGAGTTCCAGGACAGCTGGGGCTACAGAGAGACC